CCTTCCCCCAATTCCCCAGCACTGTTCCCATCCCCCAATTCCCCAATAAAAATCTTTTAAAAAATAAGTGAAACCTTTAGTTTTCACTTTAGCCCTGACACTATTCCCTAGCATTTGACCCAGAGCACAAAGACACACATCACTTTGTGAAGATCACAGTCCGCCTCGTTCAAATGAAAAACATGCTAAGATACCACACTCCTGGTCTAGCCCTGATCTTCTGAAACAAAAGTACCACCAGAAGCTTGTCAGAGACATATATCCTCAGGCACCAGGCCAAACTCAGTCACAAACTCTCCCTCTCTCCTTTTTGGAATTCAGTCTCCCAAAAAATTTATCAAGGTATAATTTACATGTTATAAAATCACCCATTTTAATTGAACAATTCATTTTGGTAAATTCAGAGTTGTACAAACATCGCCACAATCTACTTTCAAACATTTCCCTCACCCCAAAAAGACTCCTACTGTCACTGGCTGATGGTCTCTATTCCTAGTACCAGGCAACCAGTAATCTACTTTTCATCTCTAATTTTCCCTCTTCGGAACATAATGCTATGAGCATTAATTTACACGTATTCTCTATATCTACCGGGGGTGGCAAAAATATGTACAAGTAGACATTTTAGTCAATGTAAAATAAATACAAGTAGACATTTTAGTCAATGTTGCTCAACCAGTAGTTCACCATAATCAGAAGTGTCTGGACGCTGATGATAACCACTTAGCACCTCTTGTAATTGTATAAGTCAAATGTGACTTGAATTCATCTTTTGTTATTGGTATATACTATTACAATTTTAATAGTTTTCCTTTCTTAAAATGTGTATATATTCTTTTGACATTTTTTTGGCACCCTGTGTGTGTGTGTGTGTGTGTGTGTGTGTATATTTTTTCAATTCTCATATGTATATTCCTAGGAACCCAGGGTCTCGTGGTAATTTATATTTTACTTTTTAAGAAACTGCTACTGTTGTCCAAAGGAGCTGCAACCACTTTCTCCACATCTTTACCACCATTTGTCATTGCCTGTGTTTTGAATGTCATGTTGGTGGGTGCAAAGTCGAATCTCAGTTGTAATTTGCGTTTCCTTAAGACTAAGGATGTAGAGCATCTTTTTGTGTTTACTATCCGTTTGTGTATCTTCTTTGGAGAAATGTCTACTCAAATCCTTTGCACTTTTACTTCTGTCTTGTTGTTAAAGATTCTTTACATATTCTCGATACTAACCCTTTATTAATGACTTACAAATATTTTATCCTAGGCTGCGGATTGTTCTCTTTTTCTTAACAGGGACTTCACAAAAAGTTTTAATTTCGATGAAGTCTAATTTATTAACCTTACCTTTATGGATTATGGTTTTAGGGTTATATTGTGGACGGAAAAGGGGCTGCATGTTAAACCTGACAAGCTCAGGATACTGAAAATAACCACATATGATGGTGTGAACATAAAAATACCTAACTAAGGTGGGCCATGGTGGGAAGTCACATCCTTGACCTGTAGCTTCCTTGACAACGGTCTTCTTTACCTTAAGTAAGTCTGTCTTTTTGCATCTAAAAGAACATACCCTTGCAATATCAGAGTACTCCTTTTCCGGATCCCCCAGGGGGCACAACCCACCCCACCACTGCAGAAAACTACAAAATCCCTTTGCTTTCTTGTTCCCCAAATACCAGCTCTATATGCAGTAAAATGTTATTAACTATGCTGTACCCATCAAGGTAAAAGAAGTGTGTCTCTCCATTTTACTTTTTATCCAATCCCAGAGATTTTCCCGCTTTGCTCTCTCCCACCCCCTGAATCTACAACCAATTACTATTAACATGGGTGTCTACCCAAAACCACATCTAGCACTTCACACTATTCCAGGTTGACACTGTAACTAGAACAGTTTTTAAACAGGAAAATGTGACAATTTTAGGATCTTCTAAATTATGAAGACATAGAAACTAGGGAAAATGTTTGGATTTTTCTGATAGTAATAGGAAACAACTTGAAACTTCACCTTACAATTCAAGATCAATTAGGACAGTGTGCACACAAACCTGAGAAGCAGCAGATATGATGCCCGACCAGCAAGGCCTGGACCACAGCCAAACAGAAGTGGTCCTGACCCGTGTGCCACCACAGACAGCGCACGTGTGCTGCCTCCCAGGAGGAGACGGGGAAGAAATAGCTCTGGTGGGGTCCAAAGTACTAACATCCCACTGTTAGTGGGATGAATCAGAACTGTAAATGGAGAAAATGCTGCAACTTCTATTTCACTTTGTGTGCTCTTCCGAAAAGCCACAGCACACCACTCTGGTTTCAGAGAATTAAAATGCCTGAGTGGCTGCTACAAGACATGAGCCCTCCGTGGAGCACGGCTCGGGGGAGAACACTGGTTAGTCCTAAACGTTCATCAGCCAAAGCCCAGACGTAACTGCTGGTACCAGACAGCTCCCTGAGCGTGTGAAGCAGTAATACTTAGAAAACACACGAGCTTGTTTGCTCTAACTTACCTTGACAATTTTATATGCAATATGGACAGTCATGTACTCTGAGGCATTCTGTAAAGACAAGTTAATCTTTCCTAAGTGCTTTAAAGAAATAGAAAATTGTATTATCCTGGATAAACAAATTAGAAGCTCAGAGATGTTTTTTAAAAAATCATGTGAGGAAAGCAACTGAGGCACAGTAATGTTTTAAAACAGAGAACAGAGACCAGAACCCAAATCCCTAAATCTATCAGGCCTGGTGAATTTATCCTGCCGAATCCATGTGCCACACAGCACAGTATCCCTCAAACTCTCCAACTTATAACCACCATATGACTTCATGGACCAGTGAATTTTATCATGTAACAGTGACAAGTTTCAGGAACTGATTCAGTTAACTGCCTCTGAGGTTAAAAGCCCTCTGAGGAGAGGGGACACAATATGGGTTTACATTTATCTCAGAAAAAAAGAGCAATCTTCCATAGGACAGCTTAAAAATTCACAATTCAAGGATGGAGAACTTTCAAGAACAAAATAACTATTCATGCCCACTTTGTTCCATAAAAGACTTTTGGGTAGCTTATCAAATTATTTGTATACATCCATATTTACAAAAATATACTTGAGGAAAATGTGCATTTTTGCTATCTAAATGCCATTAAAGCTGCAGTAGGTTACCACTGACTTTTTAAAAATAAATTAACCATAAAGACTTGGGAGATATCAACATTTGAAACTCCATTTTTTTTTTTTTTTGGCTGAGCCATCCTGCCACCTGTTGGCAGCTCAGCTCAGGCCGGGACTCGAACCGCTGTTGCTCAGAGCTCGCACTCTTGAGTGAGCTCTTAACCAACTGAGCCACTCGGCCAGCCCTGAAACTCCATTTTTAAGAAGTTTAAAATCTCACCTCCCATTAAAATTTCTAAACTGGAAGTCTAGAATGTCCCCTCAACTGTTATCCCTTTAGAGCAGCGGTTCTCAACCTGTGGGTTGCAACCCCTTTGGGGGTCGAACGACCCTTTCACAGGGGTCGCCTAAGACCATTGGAAAACAAAAAGATATTTACATTATGATTCATAACAGTAGCAAAATTAGTTACACAGTAGCAACGAAATAATTTTATGGTTGGGGGTCACCACAACATGAGGAACTGTATTAAGGGTCGCGGCATTAGGAAGGTTGAGAACCGCTGCTTTAGAGGGAAGGCAGCTGCTAGCTTTGTGTTCTTACGACAAAAACATGCTCTTGGTGTCCACACCCTCCACTTTCCCAGGCGCCACTGGAGGAACATGGGCAGCAATCTCGTTAAGTGCCTGCTTCCCATCCTCTGGCAATTATGATGGCTATTTTTTTTTTTTTAGCTGAGCCACCCTGCCACCTGTTGGCAGCTCAGCAGCAGCTCAGCTCGGGCCGGGCATCGA